CTTCCCTCCAGGTGGAACAAGTACAGTTCCCTCAGCCTCTGGTAGTTCCTGCTGTCCAGCCCCAACCATCGTGGTTGCTCTCTGCTGATCCTGCTCCAATTAATCAACATCTTTCTTGTACTGGGGGAAATAAAACTGGCTACAGTATCCAGATGGAGTCTGAGGAGTGCCTAATGGAGAGGGATAATCATTTCCTCTGATCTAGTGGCTAAGTAAGCTTCTATCAGGATAGCCTAGGATGTTACTGATCATCACTGCCAGGGCACATACTAGGCTGTTTATCTCTGTTTATCTTGCTGTCCACCAGCACCGACTTGGTTTTATCAGTAGAGCTGTTACCTTCCAGGTCACTCCCCAGCCTCTACTATGACAAGTAGTTAGTGTACTCGAGGTGCAGGACTTTGCACTTGCTTTTGTTGAATTTCATCACAGTCTTGCTTGGCTCATTTCCCTGTCTGCCTAGATCCTGCTGAACCGCACACCTGCCCTTGGGGCTACCAGCTAAGGCATCATGGCTTGGCGTTATCTGCAAAGTTGATGAGTGTGTGCTCTACCTCCTCCACTTAGCTATTAAATGATTACTGCACTAGGTCCTAGGACAGACAAACGACACTTGTTAACAGCCACCAGGAAGGTGTCCTGTTTTTGGTTTGGATTGAGTTAATTTTCCTCCTAGTAGCTGGTATGGTGCTGTGTTTTGGTTTTAGGATGAGAATAATAATAACACACCAGTCTTTTAGTTGTTGCAGATCAGCGCTTACACAAAGCCAAGGACATTTCAGGTTCTTGCACTGTCCTGCCAGCAAGGAGGCTGAGGGTGCACAAGAAGAAGTTGGGAGGGGATGCAACCAGGACAGCTGACCCAAATGGGCCGGAGATATTCCACACCATGTGGCGTCATGCTGAACTTTAAATCTGGGGGTGTCTGGCTGGGCATTGGTCAGTGGGTGGTGAGCAATTGCATTGTGCATCACTTTATTTGTACATTCTTTCATCATTATTACTATTTTCTCCTCCTTTCCTGTGCTATTAAGCAGTCTTTATCTCTATCCACAAGTTTTTACTTTCTTTTTTTTCTCCCCCCAGATTCTCTCCCCTGTCCCACTGGAGCCTGGGGGACAGGAGAGCAAGCAAACGGCTGCATACTGCTTAGCTGACTCATGGGTTAAACCCCAACAGCAGGCTAGGAAATGTGAACCACTACAATTTGAGCTTGATTCCAGCTAATTTTCATCAATCTAATTTTCCACCCCTCCAGAACAAAACAGCAGAGACGAGGTACAAAAATGATCTGGGAGACCAAATCAAAAAAAAACATACTAAAGTCAGTGTAATGATCTAACTTCTTTCTCATATAGGAAACCATTTTGGTGTAAAATATAAAGCTTAGGAAGTAATTACATGAAAGTACTGAAGGAATTCTTTATCAAGCTCAAAAGTGTTTAGATAATAGAAGCACAGAATCACAGAGTGGTTTGAGTTGGAAGGGACCTTAAATACCACCTAATTCCAAACCCCCTGCCATGGGCAGGGACACCTCCCAACGGGTTGCTCAAAGCCCCATCCAGCCTGGTCTTAAACACCTCCAAGGATGGGGCATCCACAGCTTCTCTGGGTTACCTGTTCCAGTGCCTCACATAGAGAATAATTTCTTCCTTAGATCTCTAAGGAGAAGACACAACTGGAACTACTTTGACAATTTAGCTATAAATAAGGGACTTTATGGAAATACTCAATTTTGAAAAACTACTGAGAAATCTGAAAGACTGTGTTGGAAAGAACATTTCGACTGGTTTAAAATAAGGTTCTGATTCCTATTCAGCTAGCATGAGGGCAACTTCAATAATCTCACTAAATAATAGTCAGGACTTTAACTTACATGTACATGCTACATGCGTGAATAAGGCATTTGGTGGGTAAGCAGGAAATGGTAAATTCAGAACACAATGCAGGTTGTATTAATTAAGCCTTGGTTACTGTGCTAAGACATGAATAATTCAGTCTGAATGAATATAATGAAATGTCACATTCCCAATGTTAAAATGATGCTGCAGAAGAAATCATGCATGTTTTTACATGCAGGACTGTGTTTACAGACTAATAAACTATCAATTTTACTATTACAGATCCTCCCACTATTCCTTTTTGCACTTCTGATTATGTCACAATTATTGCACAAAAGTGCTGGGATGAGGGTTGTACTCTCACAAAGATAGCTGAGAAGAAGGGGATAGTATTTTATTTTAGTACATAAAATTTTGTAATGAAGTTACCTATACTTCGTTCTGCAAAGACCATATGCTAGTAAGAGTGTGTCTGTGGGGGGAAGTGCCTCTCTGTGGAAAAGTGTTGTTAGCCATTGCCTATCCTTTCTGAAGTCCAGACACGTTTCTAAGTAGTCGTTGATGGCAGGATTATTTTTGCTGTACTCTGTATTTTTTCTCAGCTGCTCATTAGTGCCTGCAGGGATGATGACCCCCAGGTTCCTTCCTTAACATGCAGAATCACAGAATCACAGAATCACAGAATTTCTAGGTTGGAAGAGACCTCAAGATCATCGAGTCCAACCTCTAACCTAACACTAACAGTCCCCACTAAACCATATCCCTAAGCTCTACATCTAAACGGCTTTTGAAGACTTCCAGGGATGGTGACTCCACCACCTCCCTGGGCAGCCCGTTCCAGTGCCTAACAACCCTTTCAGTAAAGAAATTCTTCCTAACATCTAACCTAAAACTCCCCTGGCGTAACTTTAGCCCATTCCCCCTCGTCCTGTCACCAGGCACATGGGAGAACAGGCCAACCCCCACCTCGCTACAGCCTCCTTTAATGTACTTATACAGAGCAATAAGGTCACCCCTGAGCCTCCTCTTCTCTAGGCTGAACAAGCCCAGCTCCTTCAGCCGCTCCTCGTAGGACTTGTTCTCCAGGCCCCTCACCAGCTTTGTCGCCCTTCTTTGGACCCGCTCAAGCACCTCGATGTCCTTCTTGTAGCGAGGGGCCCAAAACTGAACACAGTACTCGAGGTGTGGCCTCACCAGAGCCGAGTACAGGGGGACGATCACCTCCCTAGCCGTGCTGGTCACAGTGTTTCTGATACAAGCCAGGATGCCGTTGGCCTTCTTGGCCACCTGAGCACACTGCTGGCTCATATTCAGCCGACTGTCCACCATCACTCCCAGGTCCTTCTCTGCCTGGCAGCTCTCCAACCATTCCTCTCCCTTATTCATTATCCATTCCTCTCTTTAATTCCTCTCAGATAAATTGTTTCTGCTTTTTATATGTGGTGACTTTGGAGATAAGGTTTACTGATCTTTCTGACAAATCTAGCATTTGTTGCCTATTAATTTCATATGATATCTGCCCTTTCCCCACAAATTTGCTTTAGAAACACTCAGACCTCTTCTACACATTTTGCGAATTTCCACCTTTCAAAAGGTTATGTGAAGTGTTAAGCTGCAAATAAATAGCACGGCTTCTCATATTTAAATGCCTTTTTATTGCCAAGTTGTGTTCCAGCCTGTGAATGCAACTGGTGCTTTGGCAGACTGAGTTGTTTCCCTGGGAACACCCCTAAAGCCCTAAATGTTTCACTCTTTCTGTCCTCCTGAATTCTAGAATAAAGAAAGGAAGTAATAGGTTCAGTTATGGGGTTTACTCAGTGTATTAAGATTTATGCTTATGTACCAAGATTTCCGTGTTGAGCCAGTGTTTTCATACTTGAATGTTAAGGCTATTCATCTTGTCTACTGATGGTTCTTTGGGCTGTTTTCATACTGTTGTTAAATACCACATGTCCATTGGAGTGTTTTCCTCTTGTTGTTGCAAAGGACTTGTAAAACTATTTCAATTAAACAAAGTTATAAAAAGGAAAGCTGATTTTCTTTAATGTGCACTTTGTCTTTAGTTCTGCTTTCTGTGAGATCCCTTTTCGCTTCTGCTATCCTTGCTCACAATGGCTGAGATCCAATGGCGAGATCTCCAGAACCCTTACCTGGAAGGCTTATCCTTCCTGCTGTGGACATGACAATGAACATTTAACACTCTGTACAGCCTTCTTTTTTGGTGAAAAGCATTTTGCTGAGAATCACTGAAATCGTGGTGGTGGGACGGGACCTCTGGGTACCATTGAAACAGCAGTGCTCAGAGCAAGGACAACTTGCAGCCGTTCACATTCAAGTATCTTTAAGCTCAGGCCCATGTTTTTAAGAACCTATCTGCCTGCTACCATTCAGTTGGAGCTATATGGCAGAGAGCAGCAAGAGCAGAGCTGCTGCATGAGGGTGAGCGAGCCCGCAGCTGAGGTGACCCCAGCACAGCCGCACAGCACCTGAGCAGGGATGAGCAGAGCAGGGCAGTGACAGCAGCAGGATGTGTCAACAGCCCAGCGAGCGCTCAGTGACAGCCAGATAACAAGACACATCCAAGGCTGAGCTGGGAAATCCAAACAATGCAGGGTGAGGACTGGGAAAAGCCATTCCTACGGACAGGGGGGCTGTGGTGGAGCTCCTGGGAGAGGCCTCGGGCTGTCACAAGGGCTTCTTGGTGAGTGGGAGCGTGGACATCAGGGGGGTTGCAAGCATCAGTGGGCACGTTCCCCGTTTCTTACATTTTTCAGGGTGGTGGTAACATATGGCTGTTTCCGTGTCTCCACGCTTTTCTCAAGGACTGACGCTTCCCTTTTTAGCGTGGCTTCCTTCGGTCTCGATACTTTGAGGGCTATTTCTGGGCTTTCACGTGAAGCTCCTTCCCTCCTCTCCCCCGGGGCTGACCGACGACGACCCCCCCAGCGCAGCTGTCACCGCCGCCCCGCTCCCCCAGCCCGCAGGCCCCAGCCCGGCTCCTCGCCACCCCTCGGGGCTGAGGCACCGCCCGGGGGGAGGCGGCGCCGCCTCGGGCCGCTCTCCCCCGTTGTCCCCGCCCGGCGTGGGCCGTGGCGGCGAGCAGGGCCCGGCGGCCGCCGCGGAATGGTGGCGCCGCCGCTGCTGCGCGCCGTCATCATGGGCCCCCCGGGCTCCGGGAAGGGCACGATCTCGGCGCGGATCATCAAGCACTTCGGGCTGAAGCACCTCTCCAGCGGGGACCTGCTGAGGGACAACATGCAGAGGAGGACAGGTGAGCGGCGGAGGCGGCGGAGCCCCCCCGGCCGCCCCCAGCCACCCGCGGCGGCCGGGACGCTGCTCTCCGCGCTCCTTCCCCCTTCCTCTTCCTGGAGCTCGGCGGCGGGGCCCCTCCGGCAGCCCGGGCCCGAGCTGAGCGCTGCGGCGGTCTCCCAAAAGGAGTGGCGACGTTTTCAGGCCGCCTGCCTTCTGTTTGTTTGCTTATTTATTTCTTTTAACGAGTTATCCTGCTGTTAGGTCGTGGCACCCTGTGTGTGCGGGCTCGCCGGCATTCGGTGGTGCGAACCGTGTGGTCCTGGACCCTACCCTCCGTCTCTCCTCCGAGATACCCCCCCTGGGTTTTTGCAGTGAAGGAAGGTCCCCTTCTGGCATGCACGTCAGCTGTATTCGTGCTGTGGTCCGAAATCTTGCGAGGACTGCGCGTGGTGAGGGCCAGGTGAGGGTGGTGGTGCTGCCAGCACCTGGGAGCTGTGGAGGACTCCCTCCGCTGCACCACTGCTGCAGTGGGTCAGGGAACGGGCTTGGTTTTGACGGCTTGTAAGCATGTTTGAAGGTGAAAAATGGTCCGTATTATGAAATCATTTGGTTGTTTTTAATGTCCACATCCCTTTTCACACAAACTGTGTTTGCTCTGTACGAATAATGACTTTGGCTTAGTTGACTGACCTCGCTGTGGTTGGTGTCTCCAAGTTAAATATTTGCTCAGAGCAGCAGTTGTGCAGGCGTATCTGAACACATTCATGCTTCATCCGTTTCATAGTGCTAGGGTAAGTTGTTCTCTGTAGAGGCTCACAAAACCAAAATTGGTACTGTTATGAACCTTCAGTATAAGTAATATCTAGCGAGAAGGGAAGACATTCCAGGGGAGGAAGGAAATATGCTGTTTATGAAAAGCTTCAGTTTGCAGCTCTTGGCATTGAGCATCATACCTTGGAAGCAGGATCAAAGAGTATCAAAGTCAAGCAGAGGGGTGTGTGAGAAGAATAAATGGCAAGTGGAAATAGCCCATTGCTTGCTTTGATGAGGGAGCCATGGAGCAGTGTAAAAAAAACTGCAAAATGGATTGGATAGATGAAAGGATGTGAAGGAGAATGGAGATGTCAAAATGAAGTGCAGCAGACACTCTGAAAAACTGTGTGAGGACAGAAGTCAGTGTAAAATGTTGTAAAGTTCACTCAGCGTTAGAGGCCATGGAACGTAATCTGCTACAGAGTTTCCTGCTCACTAATTAACCCAGATGAAACTCTGTCTTAATGTTACTGAGAGTGAGCTGCTCTTTGCAGCAATGGTCTCCAAACGTGAGGTGAGCCCTGAGGTAGCAGAAACAGATAGTGTACTGAGGAAGGTAAGAGGGTACGAGAGGCAGCTTGGAGAGCTTTGATGAGCATAGTCGAGGGAAAGAAGAAACAAGTTTTGGTGATAATACAAGAGTTCTTTAGTGCCCAGTTCTTTGGGAACTGTTAGGCTAGGTTGAACCGTCAAAACATATTGAAAATAAAATGTAATTAGCAGTAGCTGTATGGGGCTGTTATTAGCATTTACTCTCTTTTGAAAGTGGTCTTTGTTGAAAAGTCCTGTTAAACATGTATCCTTAGCAAGTTACAGTTAATGCCACATTCTGCTGCTTTGGAGGATGGAGAGTGAAGGACAACCTCTCTTGTAGTGCTAAGCAGCCTGCAGACTGAGTATGGCTAGACCTTGTGCACTGTATACAGTTAGGACACGCCAATCTGCTGCAAAACCTTTAAGCAGAGATATCTCTTATCACCTAGACATGAAAGAAAATGGTGTTGCCTTTAATGCCAAAGACTGCCATATCTGTAGTGGTTTCAGACCCAAGCTTAAAATAAAACAGAACAACAAAAAACAACCAAACCCCACTAGCTCCCCCCCCCAACGGAAAAAAGATAGGTAAAGACGAGCACACAAATTTCTTGTCTTAGCATAACTATTCAGTCTCATGTTAATAATCACACCTATTTTTTCTTCCTGCAATAGTTGACTTTCTAGATGATCTGAGCTTTGTGGCGAGAGTCGTGTTTCCCGTTCTACTGGTCTAACGTACCTGAGTGCCTTAGAGCTTGCCATACACTAAGCCTCTCCGTGTCCAAAAGCTCATTTGTCTTTCCAAAGTATGTTGGTATTGCTGTTCGCTCCTGAACTTGCCTTGCACACATTCTTCTGTAACTGTGGCTATAGCAATACTGTGATGTAAATCAGTAACAGCTTTGGGCATCAAGTGCACGTTAAACTATCTAGATGCAGTTTATTCCTCTTTCCAGACTGTTTTGCAGGTCCATAGTTCTAAGTGCACTAGGATAATAAAAAAGGTATGACTTACTGACCTTGAAGAATGGAGGTATGGAAAAGAGCAGGTACTTTGTACTCAAACAGGCTGTCATCTTCTTTCCAGTTGTGCTGTGCTGGGGAACTCAAAGCATCTGAGTCTGGCCTTTTCTGAGTCTGACTCTCTTCCACATTGTGGCAATTATTTGAATCCTGACCATGGTGCACTGTGCATATTTTATACTGTTTTATGTATTTTCATATTTTTCAAAGCCTATCTGTAGATGTGAACATCCCATATGGGGAAGTTGTCCTTCTATTCCCCCTTTTTTTTAACACTAAAGCTGCTGTTTGCATTACTTGAGGGCATCTAGTGCTTTTCATAGGCCTTGTCTGAAGAGTCATTGTACTCTAAGAGTCACTTTTTAAAACTGCATCCAGTGATGGGGCTTGCGTTTTTCGGTGCTTCCTGCTGAAAGTGGTGGTATCAGTAATGTCAGTCCGTCCCATTTTCTCTCCCATTTAATGTACTGTGACTAGATCTGAATTAGCCTCTAGTAAATGCTTCAGCAGCTCCACAACAAAAAAAACAATTTAGCTGCTATTCAGGTGACTCACAGAATTAGGTAATTGTTTTATAACCTAGGGTCACGGAGGCTTTGTGCTCAGAACATGGCCCAGGCAAACGGATTTCTTCTTGGCAGTAGCCATGGCTCGGGTGACCTACAGCACACTACTGCATGTGATGTCAGAGCATGGTGTGATTTCCGGATCTGTGGTGCGCGTATGACATTTTAGCAGGCCAGTGGGCTAAATGACTGGTATTAAAGGTTAGTCGGTGCCATGGGAAAATACTAATGACTGTGCTCTTCTATAAATAGTTTACAATGTCTATAAACATCCTCTTGTAACTCTAGTAATTATAAAAATATGTTTCTGGCAAGTGTGTCCCATTGCATACTGCTGTCTTAAATACCAGTGGAGTTTCTTTTCATACTGAAGTCATAAGATGATAACTGGCCACTACACTGAGAAAATAAATTCCTCAGCAGGAAGTCTGAGAGCTGACATCTTATTGAGCTTGGCTGCTTGACATTTCTTCATTATTCATTTGAAGACTCTTTCTGTTTCTAGTTTTTGGAACTTCATCTTTCAAATGCTTACTAGTAAAATTTGGGGGTGTGTGGGGAAAGAAGTGAGCTGAATGCCCCATTCCTGTCAGTGGAGCTACAGACTGACCAAAATAGTCTGATACACATTTGTAAGATCAGATCCCAACTGATTATCTCTTGAACTTTAGCAAGCGTACAGTCTGCCTAGTTAATGGCTTCACCATTCTGTGCCATCTTGTTCAAAACAAAGTGTTTACAGTGTTTTGGGCTTTTTTTTTTTTTTTCAGCTGCTGGAGTTCACAGGTACTGTAATGTGATTCTTCTTACTTTCACAGAAGTTGGAATCCTTGCCAAGTCTTACATTGATCAGGGACGGCTTATTCCAGATGACATCATGACACGGCTGATGCTGAATGAACTAAAAGGTCTAGATCGGTACAACTGGCTGCTGGATGGTAAGTTAACATATTGGGATATCACTGTGGAAGGAGAAGAAATCTTGGATTGCTTTGGTCACTAATGGGTAGCTGGGTTCCAGTAGCAGTGCTCAAGTATGTAGTATATATGCTTATGTATATGCTCATATACGCTTGAGTATACATTTTCAATTACAAGTGTGTACTCATAGTACAGCGTGTGTTGTGAGCTTGTGGTGAACCATTTGGCAGGCAGTCTGCCCTAGCTTCTTCGGCTGTAAAGACAACAAGATCCGTTCTGCCTTCAGAGTGTTAAAGGGATGTTTGATTTATGTTGAAAAGGCCTTTTTACTCAAAATGGTAAGATTTCAAAACTGGAAATTCTGTCAATCCTTCTATTTCCTCTTTAATAACAGAGGCATTCTTTAAAATATGCCTTAAGAAGTGCATTTTTAAAGCCTCTTCTTTTAGAAGTCTCTGGAAAATGGAACACTTTTGATGAAAGGGGCTGAGGAGTTATGTAAATAGAACGGTAGGCAGGCATGTGATGCAGCAACAGGGCAAGTATGGAAAAGGGAGCATTGCAGCAGTGCTGTGTGTAATATATCACCAGCAAAACCATTGCTCAAGTGTTCTAAAAGGTCTCTTTCGTTTGGTTATTGGTTCTGCTCTCTAGAGCAAATAGTACTGGAATTCTGCTGAAGCACATAGCTCCAGCGTTCAGAATTGAAAGAAAATCCATTTGCCACTGTCATCTTGGACCAAGTGGCTCTTGTGTCTCCAGCCGTTGGGAGTACGGTTGGATGTGCATCACAAAGATAGAGTCTGGGGTGGATGTGTGTGTTTTCAGATTCTGGTCACATCTTGTCTCAGTAGATAAAACTAAAAAACTGTTGGTGTGGTTTTTGGTTTAGAGGGTGTGAAACATCCACAGTCCTCAGTGTTAGTGATAAAAGGAAGACCAGGGAAAATGTGGGCCCTCTCTGAAAGGAAACAGGTGACTTGGTTACCCGGGTTGTGGGTTACGGGTTATGGGTACTCAATGACTTCTTTGCCTCAGTTTTCATTGTCAAATGCTCTAGCTCCTCTGCTCTGCTCTTGTGAGAGCGCACCTGGAGTCCTGCATTCAGCCCTGGGACCCTCAGCAAAAGTATGACATGGACTGATATGAATGAGTCCAGAGGAGGGCCATGAGGATGATCAAAGGGCCAAAGCACCTCTCCTATGACGACAGGCTGGGAGAGATGGGGTTCTACAGGCTGAGAGAGACGGGGTTCTTCAGCCTGGAGAAGGCTCTGGAGAGACCTTACAGCAGCCTTCCAGGACCTGAAGAGAACCTACAGAAAGGCAGTAGAGGGACTCTTTGTCAGGGAATGTAGTGATAGGACAAGGGATAATGGCTTTTAACTAAAAGAGAGTAGATTCAGACTACATTTTAGGTGGAAATCCTTTACTCGGGGTGTGGTGAGGCACTGGAACAGGCTCACCACACTGAGCTGTGGATGCCTCATCCCTGAAAGTGTTGAAGGCTAAGCTGGATGGGGATTTGAGCAACCTGGTCAAGTGGAAGCTGTCCCTGCCCAGGGCAGAGATGTTGGAATGAGACGATCCTTAAGTTGCCTTCCAACCCAAAATATTCTGTGATTCTGTTCTGTGATCAATATACAGCAAACAACAGTTACAGTTTTTAAATGTCATAAAGAACACAGCAAACTGCACCCAGGCAAGTTCCCAGACAGTACCACGCTGGGAGGGGTATTTGATATGCCAGAGGGCAGAGAGACCTCAAATGGCTGCACAAATGGTCCGTCAGGAGTCTTGTGGAGTGCACCAAAGGTAAATGGAAGCTCATGTACGTGGGGTGTTCTAACCCCATACAACAGTCAGTAGTGACTGAGTGCTGCCTTGTTATAAAGTAGCTTTGTATATATCTTACATTTTTATTTGTATACATCTTATATTTTTATATTGCCACTTTATATTTCTTATATCTTTCAATATAAGATGGAGATTGCCAGATGGGGCAGGCCAGCATAGGTGCACTGGAGAGCTATGGTGTAGTGGAGGACTTGTTAGTGTTAGGTCACTAACAAGAGGTTGGACTGGGTGATCTTGGAGGTCTCTTCCAGGCTAGATGATTCTGTGATTCTGTGGAGTGGACATGGGGCTGAAGCATGTGTCATACAAAGGAAGGCTAAGAGAACTGAAGAGGTTGAAAGAAGTAGATGAGGCCTTCTCCAAACAGCCGGAAGAAGCCTGACTTTACAGGCCCTGGTCCTCCTGCAGTACATGAACCAACCTGTTTTTGCTGGAAGGACAATGTAACAGGGCTTAAGTGATCTAGATATTCAGACTGCAGTGATTACAGTGATTACAACATCCTAGCATAGGCAGACAAGGAGCCAACAAGTACAGGTGCTCTCCTAGACCTGATATTTACAACCTAGGAAGAACTGGTTGCAGATAAGAAGGTTGAGGGCATCCTTGGCTGCAGTGAACATGAGATCTTGAAGGTCAGCACCCTGAGAGGAGATATCGAGACAAAAACGAGGACCACAGCCCTGAATTTCAGAAGATCTGATTTTGCCTCTTCGGCAATCTGCTTGGAGGAAAATAAAATAAAATAAAATAAAATAAAATAAAATAAAACAAAACAAAACAAAACAAAACAAAACAAAACAAAACAGGAATATTGTCCTGGAGAGAAGAGGGCTCCGTGAGAGTTGGTTGATATTCAAGGACCATCTGCTCCCAGCTTAAGGAAGGTCCGTCTCAACATGTAGGAAATCTAACAAAGGCCTCCATGAATGAGTAAGGAGCTCCTAAATGAACTCAGACATAGAAAAGATATGTCTAAGAGGTGAAAGCCAGGCAGGTGACCCAGGAGGGTTATTGAATTCCTATCCAGTGTTGCCAGGTATAACATTAGGAAAGCTCAGGCCCACCTGGAGTTGAATCTGCCAAGATTTCTGGATGTGAAGGGTAACAAGAAAATACTCCACAAGTACACAAATAGCAAAAGAAAGACTGGAGAAGATGTGTGCTTCTACAGACTGGGCAGAGGCATTGGTGACAAAGGCCATGGAAAAGGCTGAGGTATTCAGTAGCTTTTCTGCCTTGGTCTTTACCAGTAAAACTGACCATCAGGAATCCCAGGCCTCAGAAAACAAAGGAAAAGTTTGGAACAAGTAAGACATTATTCATGGAGGAAGACCAGATTAGAGAGAATGTAACCAAACTGAAAGTATGTAAGGTCATGGGGCCTGAGAGGTTGCCCCCACAGGTGCTGAGGGAGTTGGCTGACATAATTTTAAGTCCACCCTCGAATATCTTCGAGACATCAGAGGAATTGGGAGAAAAGACTGAAAGAGAGCAAATGTCTCTCCTATAGTAAGCAAGACAAGAAGAAAAATGCAGGGAACTACAGGATGCGAAGCTTCACTGCAGTCCCTGGGAAGGTAACAGAGCAACTAGTCCTAGAAAACACAGTGAGGGATATGATGGTATTCAGAAATAATACGCATGGATTTATGAAGAGGAAGTCATGCTTAACCAACCTGATAGCCTTCTACAATGAGGTGACCGGCTTGTTGGATGAGAGGAGAACAATGGATATTGTTTACCTTGACTTTAGTAAGGCTTTTGACACTGTCTCTCCTTACATCCTCAAACTGGCAAAGTACGGGTTAGCATACAGTGAGGCAGGCTGAAACTGGCTGAACAGCTGGGCACAAAGTTCATCTGGAAGCAAGTCACTGTTGGTGTAGTGCAGGGGTCAGTACTGGGTCCAGTGTTGTTTAATATCTTCATCAGTGCTACAGAGTGCACCCTCAGCAAGCACCCATACAACACAAAACTGGGATGCATGGTTATTACACAAGATACTCCAGATACTTCCTTCCCAAACCATTCTATAATTTAATGATTCTTTGTCCCGTAGTGCTTTATTATAATTTTCTACTGCAGTTATCTATTTCATTGGCTTTATTCCCACTTTTGTTCTGCTTTTGTGAAGACAAAGTCTTAATCCCCACAGTGGAGACTGCAATGGAAAATAATTAGTAAAGGAATGTTAACTTAATTCCTGGTCCTGTGTACATGCAGTTCCAGTCTTGTGGATCTGCATGTGTAGCAGTATAGCTGGGCACACTGGTAACTATTAACAGCCAACTGGAGGATGATACGGAGAGCATGAGAAAATAAACTTATTTCTGCTGCATGTTAATGTGCCGCCTTCTTTAAAGTTCTGGAGTGGGAGCTATGCCTCACCTCAAACAGAGGTTTGGTGAATTACATGGGATGATAGTTCTGGCATAAACAGCTTTATAGGAACAATAGTATTCTGCTGAAATATGTTAAACGGAAGGTCTTTAGTTTGCTAACAGCAACTCAAAACAAACAGCTGAGGTCAGCCAGGTCAGACTGAATAGAGCTGGTGAGCTGCTTGTGTGCATACATAGCCAGATACACATTTCCACTGGTGGATTCTGGAATCATAGCAGATGTAGCAATCTGAGTCATGCATGTGGGTATAATCTGCTTAGACTTATCTGCTGTATAATTAGGGCATTTCTCTGTCTGTTCCTAGATTCTTCACGGTTTATCACACTTGTAGATTATTTTCTCTGTAATGAGAAAACTCTGTATGCAGCAACTGCTGGATTCACTGAAATGCTTATCTAAAGGCACTTATTTTTGTCAAGGAAGTTTCTCAGAACAGTCTAAGGAAAACTCATTTTTCAGCTGCATAACTAAGATGTATGGTGGCTGAATAGCTTGTCAGTAGTATAAAAGAACAGCAAGTGCTGGAGTCCTCACTCTCCCTCTGCTTTAAACATTTAGAAGCACTTCCATGTGCTTATGTGAACACAAGAGAAATGGGATGAGGGCAGTTGATGACTCTGATGCAAACCAGGTCTGTTAGCTAAGCAAGAGCTTGGCTCGAGTGAATCAGTTCTTTCTTCTGAGATACAGTGGACAAGATACAGAAGCCTTAAGGCAATAGGCAATTTTTTTTTTTTTTTTGTAAGACTAATTTTTAGCTAGTCCCTTACTTGGACAATACTTGCATCAATCAATGCCATGCAAAGATGAGTTTCTTAACTTTGTATCTGTACTTGCCTTTAAGGAGAAGATTACTTGTATAATGAAAATTACAAACAACTGAGAAGTGTGAGACTATGCAAAAATTTAGTGGGTAGCGGTGTTAGTCTAGTGAGTCTGTGTTGCAATAGCGTGTTATACAGCAGCTTTGATCATTAAACTTGTTGTCAATTTTTCATCATAAAGTCTTTGTGGCAACCTTGTTTTTCTCAATTTCCCCCCCTCTTTCTTAAGTTACATTAGATTTATTTACTAATAACATGAGCCTTTGAAGGCAGTCCACTGGAGCCATTGAGTTCATAGAGCAAACTGCAATGTCTTGTAAGAAAAAATCTGATGTCTCTTCAGCCTTTAGAGCATGATAATGCATTTTTTTGTCTGACTGGTAGTTTCTCTAATGATCAAATCCAGCTAATTCTGACTATAACTCTGTCTTTGGATTTTTATGGAGTCATTTCCTTTGAAAAGGTTTCCCTAGAACGGTTGCTCAGGCAGAAGCCTTGGATAAAGTTTGTCAAATAGACACTGTGATCGACCTAGATGTACCGTTTGAAAACATAAAATGTCGGCTTACAGCACGTTGGATCCACCCTGCTAGTGGCAGAGTCTACAATCTTGAATTCAGTCCTCCTAAAGTGCGGGTAAGCAGTACACATATTAATGTTGGTGCTAAATAAATGCTGCACTGCATTTGATGATTGTACTAAAATATTATGCATATGTTGTTGCAAAATACAGTAGTTTAGAAGAGAACTGCTCATTTCATCTCTTTAGTGAACAGAAGCTGCCTGGTAACACACTGCCTCTCAGGGTATGCCAGTGCCCTGGTAGAAGCTGAAGCTGATGGGCAATGTGCTTATCCTCTGCAGTGAAACACCGTGGTGCCAATTCCACATACTGTTTCATAAGCTCTTATTAGCTGTTCACTGATCTGGAAAACTTGCATACTGGCATATGAGCTGGGCATATTCTCAGCCTGCTCTGCAGTAACTAACTGTGAAGTCAGTTACATGTGAATGTACAGTTTCCCTTCCTCCAGAGATTGATTCTTTGTATCTAGGATGTACACTAAGTCAGGTACTACCAGTCAGAGGGATCCTTTTAATGCTTTCCCTGTGTTACTGTATAATCAAGATGAAAATTTTCAGAGGAACGGTTGTCATACTGCAAAATTCGGTGTAGAAACTTGCTAGTCAGAGAAGCTTCTCAACAGAACAAAGAGGTTATGGCTTAAGACATCATAAGCAAGAACAGTAAACAGAAAGATAATGAATATACATTATTACCCTAAAAATTTTTGAAGTACTCAGATTAGCCTTGGTTTATCTCTGCTTAACACGGTGTTTCATCCTTAACTCTGAATGGCTTACCTGTTGCAGCATCACATTTCACCTGCAAGTTCTAATAAGTTGAGTCAGAATCATAGCAGGCTTTCTATTTTTGAGTTTTCAGTGTTTCAGGAAAAGAGACCAGCTAAAATAGCAGGTGAGCGCTTTAAGTGAGCAACTGGAAACACTACCTATGTATTGTTTAAAACATGGAGTATAAGTTATGGTTATTTTTAATTGCAGAAGAATACAGGCACGTAGCAAAAGTGAATTAACAGACATACCAAAGGGTGGGTTTCAGCTGTAACAGCTTTGCTATAAGGAATACTCCACTCTGCTTTTCACTTAATTAGTGAAGCAAGCATATCACAACATATTAAAGTAGTTTTTAGAGTATTTAAGTGAAACCGTGGAATGGAGCTGAATAGCTGAAATATAGTTGTCATTGTTATCTGGCAGACCTGAAAAAAATGTAACTGCTTACTTGCTCAACAAAACTAAAGGATTATGGCTTCACAGTTAATACAAAACTGCAGGCTGAATATTTAATAGGTACAACTAAGGCACTATTATGGCTGCCTGCACAGATGTTAGATAGAAACCTTTGAGAAACCCTTCAAGAAACTGCTTGAAATGTGTGCTAAAGTAGTCGTCATAGTTCACACAGCAAGACCCTGCCTCTGTTTACTAAATCATAGAAAGATTTTTGTAGGGTTCTATGCCATATTTTGATGTACAGAGTTGCTAAATATTAAGCTTTCTGCAGTGTGACTTAAAAAGATCATTAATTCCTTTCTCTATTTCATGGTTGTCAAACAACGGCCAAATTGTCCTCTTGCTTGTTTGCTGTTATGCATTAGCATGTTACCAGCAATCTTCTTTTCCTTTGTAAATCCAAAACACAATATCATGTGGAAGAAGAAAATTAACCCTATCCCAGCCAAAACCATGACAGACAGTTTTGTACCCATATTCCCAGCATTCAACAAATGTTCCAGAGTTCAAATTAGTCAAGTAACTATAACCTGATGTTCATTGTCAATACTGAGAAAATGTTTTTAACCGGTGGACTGTCTTACTTGAAAGTCAACATCTTATATTCCAGGTAAGATGTAGATGGCAATCTTTCTAAGCAGAAGTCTATAGTTGGACTAAATGGAAACTGATTGCAATTTAAATAGAAAGTTACACAGAACATACTTAAACAGGAATATACATTGGTGTTTACTTTTAACCATAACCAGGGCATTGATGATATTACCGGAGAACCACTTGTTCAGCGAGATGATGATAAGCCAGAGACGGTTACCAAGAGGCTGCAGGCTTACGATGCAGAAACAAGACCTGTTCTAGAGTATTATCGGTAAGTCGTAAAACACTATGCTTCTTCCATGTTAGCTCAGCAAGGAACAAATCTCTGCAGTTATAGAGGTATTATTACAACAGCGAACAGGGTATGAGTAGCAGTGTATCTTTCATCAGCTCTGTAAGAAATAAAACCAGTAAAATTAGTATGATTGTGACTGTTACTTGAAACCTATTCAGGAGTCAGCTTAGTGAAAGTGCCTTCAACTGCAGCCATATTTATCTTCACATAGAGTGCTGTGCATTATTCACTACGTTTTATTAGCGTTCTGAGCAACATTACTCTGTTTAGTAGGGCAATAGAGAGAGTTCTCATCCTGGAAACTTGGGGAGTATTTTCTCTTTCTGGATGTGTGAGTAGAAGCCCTCATAATAGACGAGGGGTCAAGAAACTGATACATTAATAGAAAAAACTGTTAATGGGAATTCAGAAGTGGCAGTTACAAGAACAGGACTGTGACATGCACAGCTAGCAAGACTCTTAATAACTAGCTATTTGAGAATACTAGAGCCATTAGCACTTTGGAAGGATAACAGAACAGTAATTCTTTCTAAGGTCAAAACTGTATACAAAGACTCTCTTCATGTTAAGCTGGTCTGCTGTGCAAATAAAACATCAGTAATATATACATAATACTGTATCACTGCTTTCAGTCTTATCATGCCTAGACAAACATACCAGATTTTTTGTAACAACATCCTGAAGTGACTGTCTTTCCTCTATCTTTCCTTATCCACCACCCTTCTCTACCAAAACTGCTGAGTAGAAAACTGAAAGCTCCATCTTTGGACTGGTTCAGTTTTAGAGAAGGGATTTTGTTCTGGGCTGACAATGAGTTTTCCTGACCAGTAGCTTTACGATGTTTTCCTGCCTCAAGGCACCACAGTAAAACGCAGGCCTAAGCTAGTATTATAGTTACAACAATGTACTTTCCAGATAAAGCTTCAACTGCTGGAACTAATTCAAAATACCTTGATTGTGTCTGGGTTGCTTGCTTGTGCTGATGTATGTTCTTTGATTCTTGAGGTCTGACTTTAAAATTCACAGTTATTTGGATGATTGCTGTGTAGGATGTGCTGTATGACTTGATTACTTCATATTTTTACTCATCATAGCTCGTTATATTAAGTACTCTGTGGACAGCTACCAGTTTTTTGAACTGATTTGGCCAACTGCTTACTGTCTGAGGAACAGAGTTAACGCATGTCCAACCTACATTCCCTATGTTATGACTACTCCTGGCATTAAATTGCCATCTACATAGCATGCTCTGCTGTGGCAATCTTAGAGTGAGGTGGAGATCCTGTAATGCTCAAACAACATGACTTCTGTAATGCTTTTTTCTTTTTCTTCCTCAGGGAAAAAGGGTTGTTGAAATCCTTCTCTGGAACAGAAACCAATAAAATCTGGCCACATATCTATGCTTTTCTCCAAACCAAGTTGCCAGATGTGAGCCAGAAAGATGCTGCCACTCCCAGGTGAAATTAGGTCTATCTTCTGCTCATCTGTTATAGCACGCACATGATCATGAGATTCAGCAGTCACGAATTTCTTGAAGTAGTGTACCAGACTGATCAATAATTATGTTCTGCTGTTGTCCGTAACCTACCTTCTGATAAAACTTTATCTCCTGTGGGTCTCATTCTAATGCTGTATTTGTTTTTAATATTAGAAATGCCTAATTTTTGTAATACAGTAACTCTCTTTAACAAAAGCACCTACTGCTGCATCTCTGTTAATCAGAAAATATTAATGTTTTGCAATACTGAATGGTGAAGGAAACACATTTCAGAATACAGCTTAACTACGAAGCATCTTGGTTGACTTAATTATTCATGAATTGACTTTCAGTCTGCAAAAAGCACTTTCAGACCAGAACTGGCATAGGTTGGAAGGAACCTTTAACAATAATTTAGTCCGAACTCTCTGCTACAGGCAAGGATGTTTCGCTTGATCAGGTTGCTCAAAGCCATGTCTAGTCTGATTTCAAACACCTCCAGTGATGGGACATCCACAACTTCTCTGGGCAACCTCTTTCAGCTCCTTATGACCCTCCTTGTAAAAAATTTCTTCCTTATATAGATAGAGGTTGGAAAATGGTCACTTCCTTTAGCTTGGTTGATTTTGCTGGGTTTAAGTTGCCCTTGACACTTGCTGTGATGATTTGCCTTACTACTAAGTTTCTATTTCTGCCTTCAGCTAAATTGCTAGCATGAAAAATAGTTTAATGATGTGTAACATACTTGGTAAAGCCTCTGTCTTTGTGCAGTGGTGTAAGACTTTTTAGTAAATAAAAACCAGCAGACACTGGATCACTGATCTGGTAAGCCTGTAGCTAGGCAATGTTGACCAGTGAACATGTCTTTATTATCTTCGGAAAAATAACTCTTCATAGATGTCAGTGCCATGAATTTTCTTGGTCAAATTAGTAAGTTGTTTTTTTTTTTACTGTAGTAAGTTTTATTGTAGCAAGTGAAGTTTTCATGAGTTCATGCTACGAATTCAGGTCTCTGACCAGTTCTTGTATTAATTTATTCTCTAGATAACTAGATTCACAAACCTCCACAGGTCACACTTTAAAAGTCAAGGTAATGCAGATGTTGCTGTTCTTCAGTAAATTCTCCAAACCCATTTTTTTATGCCCACCAGATGGAGAGTTTCAAGATAAGTCAGCAAAACCTGATGATGAAACAATTCTAAGTTATGTCTGAGATGTAGCTGCCTCCTCCTACTAATGTAGGTCTCAGTCTCGTCTTGCACTGACTCATTAACTACAAAGCTATCATACTGAGGACTACATTTTCACGTGTAACTTTACTGTTATAAATACTGACACAGTCTAAAAAAGATGGATGCTGTAGAATTTGAAAAGCCTTCCCATTACATTTCTGCTTATTTATAATCATGCATTTTGACTTCTACATAAAGCAGCTATGCTTGCTTTATTGTTAGTCTATGTAAGTTTCAATTAGCTGGAGAAGAAACAAGGAGGACATCTTATGATTTGAGACTTACTCCCACACTGGTCAACCAATTTTAATTACAGACTTAAAAAAAACTTACAGCGTGTCACAGGTTGCTAGATAAGTATGGCTGTACTGCTAGTGGTAGCAATGCACGCAGCATGAGGAACAAGAAAGAGGATCTAAACTTGTGGTTTTTTTTTTAAAGTATGTTAACAGCAAAAAAAAACATTGGTGCATTATTTGATGAGGATGGTCAGCTCCCAAACAGGGACATAGATAAAGCAGAGATGCTTAATGCCTTCTTTGCTTTTGTTTTCAACACTGACGATGTTGAAGTTGTCCATGGTCCCAAAGCCCTGAGTTGGAGAACTCTGACTGCGGGAATGATAAACTTCCAGCCATCACTGAACTTATGCAGGATCTGGATACATATAAATCTATCCAATTGACTGGAAGGTGGCAAACATGATTCCAATTTTCAAGATGGGCAAGAAAGGAGACCCTGGTAATTACAGGCTGGTCAGTCTCATTTCAGTGCCTGGTAAACTATGGAGAAAATTGTTCTGAGATTCACTGAAAAGCACTTGAAGGAACTTGCAGTCATTGGTCATAGCCAACACAAGTTCATGAGGGGAAAGCCCTGCTTAACAAACTTAAGTTCCTTTTATGACAAGGTCACTCACCTAGTTGACCAAGGGAAGCCAGTTGCTTCAGCAAAGCTTCAATTAAGTTTCTCACAGTATCTTTCTGAACAAAATGTCCAGCATACAGCCAGATAAATATATAATATGATGGGTGAGCAATTGACTGACAGGTTAGGCTCAAAGGATAACAGTAAATAGGGTTGTATCAGGCTGGCAGCCAGTCACTAGTGGAGTTGGTGTTCCCCAGGGCTCCATTTTAGGGCCAGTTATCTTTAATGTTTTAACAAATGACTTGGACATAGGACTTGAAAGCGTATTAAGCTAGTTTGTGGATGACACTAAATTGGGAGGAGCTGCTAGCTCCATCAAAGGTTGACCTTACAAAGAGATCTTGACAAATCAGGGCTGGGCAATCATCAACTACATGAAGTTCAACAAGAACAAGTGCCAGATTGTGCACTTGGGAAGGGGCAACCCTGGCTATCTGTACAGACTGGGGGACAAGAGGCTGGAGAGCTGCCCCACAGAAAGGGACCTGGGGGTTTTGGCCAACAGAAAGTTGAATACAAGTCAAAAACAGCATGCCCTGGCAGCCAAAAATGTCAACTGGATTTTTGGGGTACATCAAGCATGGTATCACTTGCCAGTCAGAGATGACCATCCTGCTCTGCACTGGTGTGGTCTCACCTCAAGCACTGTGTGCAGTTTTGGGTGCCACAATATGGAAAGGACATAAAGCTATTAGAGTGTCCAAAGGAGGGTTACAAAGATGGTGAAGGGTCAAGAGGGAAAGACATATGAAATCACTTGGTTTGTTCAGAGCATGGAGAAGACTTAGGAGTGACCTCATGGCAGCCTACAGCTTCCTTACAGGGGGTGAGCACTGATCTCTTCTCTCTGGTGACAGTAACAGGACCCGAGAGAATGGTCTGAGGCTCTATCAAGTGAGGTTCAGGCTGGACATGAGGAAAAGGTTCTTTACCAAGATGGTGATGAGAACTTAAACCAGGCTCCCTAAAGAACCTGTTATGGCAGAGTCTGTTGGAGTTCAGGTAGCGTTCGGACAATGCTCTCAAACATTTGGTGTGATTTTTGGGTACTCCCATGTGGAGCCAGGAGTTGGACTTGATGACCCTTGTGGGCCCCTTCCAACTCAGGACATTCTATGATTCTATGAATTGTAAGTCACTGTGCACTGTTCATTGTTCTTATTACCCTTGTACATAAAAGAGGAATTGAATTAAAGAACAACTGGGAAGTCATTAGTTTCTCTTAACTAATTATTAAGGAGGAGACAGCGTTTACTCTTCCTCTTTGGAGTGTTTGTCAAATTTTATATACACTTTGCAGCTGAAGCTAGTTATCTCTAACTTGCATTGGGGACAGAGCTACTGCTACTTTATCCTGTTTGTCTGCAAAAACCTGCTAGAGAACGCAAGTATTAGGAACAAGAAAAGGTACTTCCATCAGTGGATCTGAAGCTGCTGTTTCTGCTGCTGCATTAACACTTATACTCACTCTGGTTTATACTGCAGTTAAAACTTTGCTTTCTCTGCACTACAGCCCACAGCCGAAAATAGCTGTATATCAGCATAGCTTTTGCCTGATTCACCAACTGTAGGTAGACTGCGTTCATCGAACTACTGAAATCTAGATTGCGTACCTTACAGAACAATATGGTAAAGGACGAAGAGCCCTTTAAAGGACAAAGAGACCTATACCACTACTTGAAATGCAAGCTCTCTCCATTGGACTGTTCTAACTACAGTGTGTATTTTTGTATGTAGGTAGAACTGCTTTAACAGTAGCAAGTTGGAAAAGCAGGCTAGAGTTTTGGATTGCAAAGGTTCTATGGAAGGCTCTTCTCTATGGAGTTTGAACTTCCAGAGTTCTTTAAAAATTTTCCACTTTAACTGTTTGAGTTGACAATTTCAGAAATCCACTTTAGCTTAGTACCATATGAAGTTCTTTTCAAACACTCGCACACACCTTGCCCTGTATGAACCGTGACAAAGCTTTCTCTTCAAAGTGTTGTCTTTTCCTAACCCTTTTACCTGAAGTTCCATCTGTCCCCTCCATCAAATACTTCTCCACATACTGAAACTTAGCTTAAAAAAAATCCTAAGTTACTCTTATTAATAAAAGGAGAGTCAATTTATCTGAGATCATAAAACTTGGCACTCATATGTAGACAAGTGTTGCTTTTGTTTTAGGACAAAACCAAACTCTTTTTAATGAAAGCACAATGTAACATTTAAATCCCCTTAGTAGAGGTAGAAAGCCAGTGTTTTAACCTAATCCATTCCAGATCTGAAATACTGATACCAGGTATTGATTTATTGCTATTAGTGATAACCAAATTTGAGAGCTTATAATGTCAACAAGGTAGCATGAATACAGTTGTGATCTCCAATATTCATAGAGTAAGACATGTCCACATCTGTAGTAAGACAATAGCAGATTCTACCAAGAATCTACTGCTTCTTGTAAACATTGTATTTGTGCAGATTTGTTTTCATACTTTGATTTCTAAAGTCATGAAAGGCAAGGTTAGTAGCAGAAAACACATCCAGTTTCACATTCGGCAATATGAGAACCCTGCTCTTCAAGGACAACCAAAAACCTAGCAGCACATTTTCAAACAATATTACAAGTTTTTGTGAATTACCCACCCTTCAAACTCCCCAAACAAAAAACAACAACAACAAAAAAACCTGACACCAAAAATAAAGTGCAGTACCCAGAAAAATAAGTGTCAAGAAAATAGCCATGTTCTTTTCTTTGTTAAAAAAAAGAAAAAAGTACTTGGCCTCAGTCTTAACAATACTATACTGTGTCCATCATTTTGGATTCTTCTTCATCTCTTTGTATCACAGAGTTTAAACTGCAGACATTTGTGTTTATGGAACCTTGTAGACCACCTGTGTTCTGCAACAGATGAAAAATTGACAGCTTAATTCTCCACAATTGTATATATGAGGAGAGAGAGAAAGAGAGAGAGAGAGATTTTAGCTTAAGGTGGACTCTTCATGTTGTCTATCTTAAGTTTGCAACAGTAAGAAAATAAGCTCTTAAAAAAAATTATCACTAGTAATACTGCACTGTGCCAAGATGGTCTTTTAAATTTAGCTGGCATAGCTTGTATTTTGTCTCAGTATTTCTACCACTTGTCTGTACATTAACTTAGAATATAGCTGTTGAATCTTACTTGAAATGTACTTTAACCAAATTATTTCAAGTTAAGTAGTTTCAACTGTGACTCCTTCCATAATACCTAATTTTTGAAAACCTCTGAAGTTGCTTCTTCATTCCAGAATGTAGCCTTCACTAGTACAATACCAAAAGATGTAAGCACCCTCAATTTTGTTTTATCACAAGAGATTTTCTTCAGGCTTGACTTAGCTGAAGGATTCCATGAATTAGCATAACCATTTTACACTGAAAGCCCATTTCACTGCTAGTGGTTAACGAGTGTGAATACAATTCTAGCTTCTCATCAGCTTTACGATGCAGTGTTTCTTTTTAAACAAAAGAGTGCAATGGCACTGAACTAGCATATGCTTTTGACCTTACACTGATACTTTCTGAATTGACGCAAGCAGAATAAAAGCCTACATATGCCTTACATATCGATAATGCATCCCATTACATCCTGAGTACTGGCAGTTCTAGGAACAGTCCTCTTTATATTTTAGCAAAGTATAGCTTCTCAGCACAACCAATCCTAATTTAG